TTGTATAAGGATAACTTGATTATCCGTAAGCCTGTTGCTGTTCATTCCCGCTTCCGGGCCAGGCGTCAGCTTATCGCACGTCGTCTTGGTCGCCATACTGGCATTGGCAAAAGGAAAGGTACTGCTGATGCTCGTATGCCCCAGAAGGTTTTGTGGATGCGCAGAATGCGTGTTCTCCGTCGTCTTCTGAAGCGATACCGTGCTTCTCATAAGATTGACAAGCATCTGTAAGTACTCATGATTAATCGATTTGTGTCATTTCTATTTAACTTATCGAACTTTCTTTGTAGATACCATTATCTGTATCAACAATGTAAAGGTAACATCTTCAAAAACAAGCGCATTCTAATTGATCATATCCATAAGAAAAAGGCCGAACGTGTTCGTGCCAAGCAATTGAATGACCAGGCTGAAGCTATGCGCCAACGTAAACGTGAAGCTAAGATTCGACGTGAGGAGCGCCTAGTTGAGCGTAGGAAGCAATTGCTTTTGGGAGTTGTCGATTCAGCTGCTCTTCCCAAACCAGTGGAAAAGCCAGTTGAAGAAGCTCCCAAGGTTGAAGAACCAAAATCGGTCGCACCCGTCGTACAAAACCCTAAAGCTAAAACTTCTAAAGGCTCTAAGGTCACCAAGCAAGTTCATGAGACTGAAACAAAGAAGGCTGTTGATGTCAAGCCAGAAGTCAAGGAGCCAGCTCCAGCTCCTTCCAAACCTGCTGTTGCTGCTGAATCAGCTAAAAAACCTACGGGTGAGAAGAAAAAGGCAGTCATAGCCCAAAAACCAGTTAAAACTGCAAAGACTCCTGCTCCACCACCGAAAATCCCGACAGCTGGCGCTTCGAAATCAAAGTCTACCAAGAAATAATTTTGTCAACCAATAAATACGAAGTTTTTTGATGAATTTGAAGTTTTTTGCGTACATATTACTTTTCACTGTAACCTGCCTTGCATTTGATATGTGAGCCCGCTTTTCGGTGAAGTGATATTTAGTATTTGTTGGGCGGGCTCTCTACCAACGTTTGAGGTTTTATTTCACATGGCTGGCGGTTGCATTCCTATCTATGCCGTTTTGCAAGCATTGCGTTTTTCTTCACAGCTTTGATGTACGTGGTAGTGTTAGTGTCAAGAAATGTTTGGTTCTTTATCCGTCGTTGGAAGTAATTTCATTAAATTTGGCATTTGGTTTTTTCGTTCATTGTGTTTTGTGATTAAGATTAGTCGTTTAAGTAGTTGGAGTGTTAGCTTTCATCTTTGGAGAGATGGAATTGTAGTTGTTGGGTGGAAATGAGCTTTGATTGATCGGCCGTTTCAACTGTGTTCGTATAAATGTAATGGCATTACGCATCGTGCTCTTTATGCTATTTGGTTCGTATTTGAATCATCCACAATTTTGTCATTTTTATATGTCTTCGCAGATAATCTTTCGGAATTTAGGGGTTTTTTTACATGAGTTTTTGATCCTAATCTGAGGTGTGGAGGTGTTTTTTGCCATCGGATGTCGTCGTTTTTTGTCTAATGTGTAGCAGGTAGTGAGTTGAGTGAAATGCAATGAGAAATGCCAGTTGTTGATCAACCTACCATCAGTTGTTGGTGTTAAGGCGTATAGCATAGCATTTATTTCCTTTGATTTTAAGTTTGTCTTCAAGACTAAAGATGTAATTAGGAAGTTGGCTACGCGTAGTCTTATCCAACTCTAAATGCTTTGGAAAAGAGTTCTACTAAGACTTATTAGTAGTAGATGCAAGTGTGTATTTAAAAATTTTCTCGCGAGATACGGACGTTAAGACTATTTACATGCGACAAAAATTGTCAGTATTTGTCTATAAAGATCACAGATAATTCATTGTGAGTATTTACACTCATTACCACTTTTAATATTATTTTTACCGGGGTGTGCGATAGACTTACCTCCACGTGGTGCACCCTGGTCAACGCATACACATACGGCAAAAATGTCTATTAACTGGCAGTTGACTTCTCACTTCAAACTACCATCACCTCACTCGATGCCATATTCGAAGACTTTCACAGTACTCATCTTACCTTTTTATACCTTTGTGTCTGTCTCTTTTACATCTTTGAAACACTCTTCTGTCCCCACAGCCTCTCGACTTTTTCAATTTGATGTTCCTTCCCTCTGTGAAGCCTGAAGTTAACTAAAGGGCTAATGATAACCATCAAGACGCCTGCCATTTGATATAAATAGATAACCTCTCTCTAGGTACAATAAATAGAAAGGCTCGTTCATTTGCCATCAACATCGGATAACCAATGAACTTCTAATTCACCTCATATTCCATCCCGTGATTTCTAGTTCGTTACAATAAACGTTTCTAGTAAATAACCCGACAACTCTGAATCTTATTGTGGTAAATAACACCATAAGTACGTGAGTTAATAGTTTCGAGGGACTAATATCAAGCCATAACCTCTTTGGCATAAATAATAACAAGCTAACGAAACACAGGCTCATACACACCAGATGGTTAAAGAATTAAAGTATTTAATTAATATCAAATGCCAGGCGTTTTGATAGTTATCACTAGCCCATTAATTGACTTCAGACTTCACAGAGAGGAGGAGGAACATCAGAGACAAAAAGTCGAGAAGGGGAACAGAAGAGTGATTCACAGTTGTAAAAGAGACAGACACAAAGACATAAAAAGGTAAGATGAGTACTGTGTAAGGGGTCGAATATGACAAATAGTCGGGCCATAGTAGTTTGAAGTCAGAAGTCAACTGCCGACCAATAGACTTTTTTGCCGTATAATCTGTGGATGGGGCCGAATATGACAAATAGTCGTGCCATAGTAGTTTGAAGTCACCGACCAATAGACTTTTTTGCGTATAAGTATACGTTGCCCAGGGTGCACCTCGTGGAGGTAAGTCTATTGTGCACCCCAGAATTAAAGTATTGGATAAACAAACATTGGTACAATAAAATTTTCAGTAGTATTTATTGCAAAAGTGGTGGCAAAAGCTTCAACCTAATCTAATCCAATGAACAAATGTTTGGTGTCAGAATTCCGGCCTGATTTTAGGGAAGATAGAAAAAAAAATGCAAAAATCATATGTGGGGTTAGCGAACGGCAAAAACATACCTGAGGAGGATATAAGGGTACCACTTTTTCAATCACTAAATCATTCCTCTTTTTATCCAACGTATCCGGTCGAAGTTGACCACGATTATAAGCACCGGCTGCCTCTCTAGCCTCAGCCGTTGTCACATCGCTTGGATCAATTTCGTAGTGAACATACTGTGGGTTGGAAAAAAGTTTAAAGCAACATAATGACTTTCACGAATATTTCAAAGTCTGCAAAAGACAACAGTGGTTATGTGGTTACCATTCGAAATGATATTCTCCTACTTTAAATGATTGAAGTTAATACTCCATCCAAATCTGCAGAAATTCGACAGATAACCTTAGCATATAACCAAAGATGGTAAAAATAGCAAGACAAGTTCAACAATTTGAATAAAGTAAAAAACAAGAAAAGCTCCATAGATTAAATTTATTTAAGCCCCAATATGCCTAATAGATTAGCATAAATCATGCAAATTCTACGTAAAAAGATAATCATACGCACAAGAAAAGAAAATACAGTTTGAAGCAAAACTTACTTTGCACGTATCAACATGAAAACACGTGTTAAGAAAGGAACAATCACCAAGGGATTCTATAAGATTAAAATTAATTAACTGGAGTTGAAAAGAAGTTTACCATCAGTATGGGGGCGAATTATTTTCTTGAAATGTAATTTGGTGCACTTGTCATCTCCAGTAGCATGTTTACATTCAGCTCGAGTCCCGTGGATACAGAAGAGCTGAACTTGGCTTCCACCTCGGGATCGAAATTTCTCATTTATAATTTTCTCCTTTAAAGGGAATTAAAGGGATTAAGATAGAGGTGGTAAAAAATACCTTCACCGTTGGTGTAGAGAGAAGCCTTTGTATTTCTTGATTAATGCGTTTGACTTCGCGTTCTTTAGCCGTCTCGACAGATAAAAGAACCTCTAAATCGCACTTATCACCAGC